GGGATTTGTTAACTAAACTGGAATAATTGGATGAAATAAGTTTAAATGAAATGTAGCGAAAAATGTGTATAATTTAATGGGACGTACAAGTAAGTGGTATAGAGGAAGTCAGACTTTTTATTCAATAATTATAATTTGTTTCATTAAATAATTATACTTCGTTTCATTAAATAATTATTATTGATTCCCTATTAAAAGGGGGGCGGTTTAACAGGGTTGTGTTTTAACTAAGTCTTGTCTTAAAAAACTTTAAATTTCTTCATTACAGAACGATGTAAAAATTACTATCATAAACCATTAAAATGAAGCAGAATTTCTACGAGAAACTACGCAAAGGAGAAGAAAACGCATTAAATGATAACAGTCATTAGTAAATGATGTTACAGTTTTTAGGAATTCTTTTCATCCATAATAATAATATGTAATTCAACGGCAATTAATCTGGAACGTATAAATGTTGTTAAAACAACCATTAAAACATATTGCTAAATAGCAAAATTAATTAAGTGTATTGCTAATAACCTTTTGTTTCCCATGAACCTCTAATCTCTTTTAACTGCTCTTGGATTAATCTTGATTTTGAGTTACCCATGGACGTCGTCTTCGGTATTACTCTCCTTAAATGGGAGTTCACTGGATTTGTTAAATTTTATTTTAAGACATATAAACTTTTCTAAACTTAAATATGAGATTACAAATTCAGCGTATTTGATGATAACACTGAAAGAAATTTTTAATTTGATTACGAATAAAGTAGTTTTCTATAATATTATTTTGTTTTAAAAAATCATGAACATCCAGAAATTCTTATTCGTAACAAACAACAATATTTAGTATACTATTTTTTTTCTTTTCTTTTTTTTTTTTTTTTTTTTCTGATGTAAGCTATTTTAAAAATCAGTTTTAAGTCAAATTATGATTGCAATAAGGAAATGTTTTCATGAAGTAAATTATTTAATTATAATATTTTTTTGTAAATTTTGTCAATTAATTAATTTAATAAGTAAATTATTTTCGTGCTTAAACTGTATGAAGTTATGTATACTATCTGAGCTGTTGATATGAAATATGACAGATGGACAGATGTTCATATGTATTTGAACCTGCATAGATGGATGTTCATATACATTTGACCTAAGAATTTCAAGACTTCACATCAAATGCTAGACGCATGAGATAATAATGACCTTATTATTTCTTTCGCCTTCTTGGCGTGCCTTCGTGGTGCAGTTAGTGGTCAGCACGCTCGACGCGTATTTGAGAGGTCCGTGATTCGAGTCCTGGCGAGGGCATTACTCATTTTTCATGTCTCTTGCTTCGAAATAATATCCTAATGTCTCTACAACCTCTTTATTATTGCATATATGATAAGATATCTAAGGTAACAATATAGAAGATAATAATAAAAAACACATTGAGATAATAATATCATATATATTAGTATTTATCATTACATATATGATAAGATATACAAGGTAACAATGTACAAGAAAAAACTCAAATGTATGAATATATATATATATGTATTTCTACAAATAAAAAAGAAAAAGCAGAAATAATTAGCACAAATCAAGGAGTTTGGAAATGTAAAAGAAAAGCAGAAAATAAATAAACAGAATTTAGTTTTAGAAAGTGGAAAAGCCAAAAAAGTAGCTTAAATGCGACATTACAGAATTGCGGTATTTAATTGTATTATTATTTATATTTAGGTATTTAATTTTAGTTACATCACAAAAGCTAATAAGTTTCATTTTTGCTTTTTGGTGATTAGAAGTTTAAAATTTTTTAGTCTGCTTATAAAAATTCCTAACCTAAAGTAATGCTGCATTTTCAATTAACTGAGGTGAGTTTCTAATTGTGATTAAATTTAATTAACATTTCTTCCTCTCTCTTTTTATTCATATATATATATATATATATATATATATATATACACGCACAGCGTTATTTATAGTGTTATTAAATAATAAGTTATATGCATTACTTACTATTTATTACAGATCTGAAATTTAAAAGAAAAATGTTAAGTCTTTGTTATTTATGTCTTCTATATATGTGTTATATATAAATTAAATTATTGCTCTGACTACATTAAACTATTGTTCATATAGGTAAACAACTTGTAAATTATTTTCTTTAATGCTTGTTGCCTGCTTTCGAATTCCATTTTAAATTGTGTGTTCTCATCATGAAAATAAAACTCATTTCGTCCTTGTTAAATAGAAGAATCCCAGAATACCTCTTGTTTCTAGCGCGCATTTACTGTTAGGGGAACTTAAACCTCCTCCTCATCTTTTTTCCTCTCAGTTTCTTTCCTTCCTTTTGTAATATCAGGATAGGACAGAAATAAGTATATGATACACCAAGACGTAACTATATGATGATGCCTATCCTGTCTCGTGATATTTCTTCATCGGGTGATGAAACATGCTACAGAAGTTTGTGCTAACTTACTAAAACGTATACATGCAGTTCTAATTTGGAATAGCATGTACACTAAAATAAAGATGTTTTCGTAAGAGGTATTGCTTACTAATATCTTGGTCTTGTTCCGAAAGATATTTGTCAATATTTTTGGTTTTGGGATGAAAGTTTGGATTATTTACGATGCATTTTCGAAACTGGGGTTCGTTTGAAGTTGATCTAGGGGTATGAAGTGCTTGTGTTACTGGGCATGAGAAAAGGTAGTGTTCTGGAGATCCTCTTTCACAGCAAGTACAGTTATCTGAGGGAAAGATAATTCTGTCGTAGTAATAAGTGTAGCGAAATGTCCTTGTCCAGATATGAATTGATTTAAACTAGAGTTACTGGGACATCTTTTCCTTTTTATTACACTGATTAGCTACTGGATTCTCTTGCCTTGAGGAATACAGTCCCATTCGTTTTGTTAGATTATAAGGTATTTCTCTCGCCTTACTAGCTTGCCTTCGTGGCATAATGGTCAACACAATCGGTGCGTATCCGAAAGATCCGTGGCTCGATTCCCGGCTAAGGCGTTGCATATTTTTCATCTCTCCTGCTTCCAGAATATTCTAATGCCTCTATAAGATTTGATTTCATTTCTTATATGGTTCTGTTTTTTATATAGGACTTTAGCCATATATTTGGTTCATATTTTCAGAATCAGAGTCTTAGCTCCATCATTAGCAAGGGAGTCAGCATCTTCCCTTCCTTCATTTCCCACATGTGCTTTCATCTAACCAAAGGAAATTTTTAAATTGGCTATTTTCTTGGAGGAGATGAAATATTTCATTAAAATCAGTTTTGGGCTACTGCATGTAACAAAGAAAGAGACTCTGATTAGATTGTGAGCTGAGTGCCTTTATTATTAACTGAAATTTCTGTTACCTTTTTAATTGCTAAACTTTAAGCTTGATAAACTGTTTTTCTTTGTATAGGCACCCTATCCAGGGAAATTTTAGATTTTTGACTTCATGAAAATTAGAGGCTGATCCCACGTTTTCCATCTTTTTTTCTGATCCATCTGTATATGCTTCTGGGTAAGTACTAACATATATATATATGTATATAGGATCTTTAAAGGAAATTTTGATGTTAGATGAATTAGCAGGGTGCTGAGAAACTGAGAGTCTGATAATTCAAAATTATTCGAATCGTATAACGAAGTTTGATTCCTGAGCTGTAATGTGTTACATTTAAGCGTTCTAACTATGATAGAAAATATAAAAGATTTTTTACGGAAAGTACGTACAATGCAGTCTTAAAAATGGTGCGAAATGATTAGTTAAGTTGAAGAGAAAATGTTGTTGGTACGCAGTTGTTTCTTCTTCCTTTCTGTCTTAGCTTCGAACAGCAATCCTTCGAATAGCAGTTCTTAATTAATAGTTTTCTTTATCATGGCTTCTGGATATGAAGATTTAAGCTCCAATCATATTTTCTCATCCTTCTCATTTCCTCATTCTTCTATTTTTGAAATTTTTATTGTTACATCTCGAGGGTGTTCTATTCAGTTGAATTTTGTTGAAATTCCAAGGAATTTCAATTTATGTGTGATCTTTATTTATTTATTTATTTATTTTAATTTTAAAGGCTGGGTTCCCTTGTATGGTTTGACCAGGTTTATGTAAAAGCATCACTTTCGTTATTATCATTCATCTGAAGTCAAAGTTTATAGAACACTGTTTAATTATACTTTCACATAACCCATCCCACACTTTACTGATTTCATGTACTTCAGAAAGTAAATCGAATTTTATGCTCCATAACCAGGCATAAGTTTACAACGTGGTGCTCCATAACAAACAAGACTTGGATTTAACTTGAAACACAAACAAAAAACGAGAATCGATTCCTATTCACATGTTTTGACATGGAATTCGAAGGAAAAAATCTTTACTATTTCGAGTTTTCAAAGGGCATTTTTCATCAATTTGTTCGATATAATAAATATATATCTTAATTAATTCCGTAGAAATGGTTTTGCTTACACTTAAATATTTCAAGTTCCGTACATGCAATTACTCGATATAAGAGTGTTCGATGTAACTGGATCCGACTGTATTATGAACTGACTTTTAACTGATGTCTACTGCATTTCATTTAACAGACTGGCATTGTTTATTTTCCACATGCTTCTGTTTATTGTCTTTTTTCGGATTTTATGTGGCTTTATTATTGAATTCCATTTCACAAGTTTAACTTGGCAAACGCATTTTATATCTTTCACATGCTTCTGTTTATTGTTCTCTCCCTCCGGCCGTATTGAATTGTATAATATTGCATGTTATTTTGTTATAACATAAAACAAAAGTTTAACTTTTTAACAAATTAGCATGGCAGCTGCAGTGTTTATCATGTACACTGCGGGGAAAAAAAGAGAGGACAGGTTCGTATCTCCCGTTCTACTGGGACAATTGACGAGTAAAATAATTGCAAATTTGATAACATTTTGTGTTTTGAAGATTAAATGGTAATTTTTGAAAATTCAAGAAACTCGCTAATTAAGAATATCATAAATTAAGCAAGTAAAAAAATGTTACCTTAGCATTCTAAGATCATAAGCTTTTTATTTTTCCGATACCTCACGTATTTCAATGTGCCGTCTGATCCGTGTATTCTGAAAAGATAAAAGTACTTCGGTGACCAAATCAAAATTTTTGTACACTAATATCATTTTCACCCATAGTCATTATTTAAAATAATAGTTAAAGCACTCAGGTTGAAAATATGCAAGCAAAACGGGTCAACTGGTAAAATCGTTTTGGCTTTTTATGAGTTTTTGACATTTCAATTCTTGCTTTTAAAAATCAAAATTAAATTTCTTTTTCTGGTCTATCATTTGAACGACTAAATATTTTCATCTTTATTATTTACGGGGATCTGAAATTATAAAGTAATGCAGTTTTTTATAATTTAAACGCAGATTCGGCATAAATAATATGTAGGAGAGACTGAATGCAAGATCACTTTTTACAGTGTTTTAATATTTTATTATGCTATAACAAGAGATTCCCAGCGGGGTCGGTATTGATATTCTGTGGATCAGTGAATATTTCACAGGGGTCAGTGTTGATTAAACGGCCGATAGCCAAATGTACACTGGCAGTTGATCGGCATAAAAAGAATTTATTAATAAAATTTATAATTAATTGTTTATTGATGTAAAAATTATATCACGTAGTAAGGGAGAAATCTATAAAACAAATATAAAGAATTATACCCCCCAATCATCTAGAATTTTTTTAAATTAATAATATTTTTTAAATATATAAATATTTAATGCAAAAGGCAGCTAGAAAAAAATGAAAGCTCAAGAACAAAACAGCTAAAAAATACAAAAAACGAAAAACTTCTTCAGACGATTTGTTATTACATGCAGAATTTAAAAGATTTTAATGTGGCAACATAGCTCATAGAAAGGCTTAACTGCAATGTACTTGATCTTGATATTACGATAGAAGAAGAGGTGATTGCATTGAAACAGGATGTTCAAGCATATGTCTCATTCAACGTCTCATTATTTTAAGTGTTTTCACACAGCGAAGACATTATACACTTACAAACATCAATGCCGTCTCCGGGATTCTAACCTGCAGTATACAGCCGGCTTCCCTATTAGCATACCAAAGAGGTAGTATTTTGAGGAGCATTAAATTTGCCATATTTAGAAAATCTTTGACTATGCTGAAGAAAAACGGCTTAAAAGGGTTATATGTAATCGGTGTTTGCAGAAATACACAATATTAAATATGCTAACGGGACTTCAAAACTCTGTTAATTGATTTTCTTAAATCTTTTGCTCAGGAATAAAATATCCTTAGTAATAAAAGCCTTTTAAGTTTCTTATAAGAAAAATTTAAATATAACTACCTCCCATATTTGCACCACAGAAAGCTGTAATAACCAAAGGCCACGTATTTTTATGACAGCCCATTGGGTAACAGAAAATTTTCATTTTAATGTAAGTAGGAAAAAAAACCAGGATAAAAGCTCTTTTGCTGATGAAATCTAGCCTCTTCTAAACACCAAGTGCATGATGGTAGATGTAATATTAACGGTGGCAAGTCAGTGTGAGATTTCCGTTGTAAGCAAAGTCTATCTTCTACGTAAAACACATACACTTAGTAAGATTAACTAACGGCTAAGCTACAAGGCGAGGTTTTAAAAAAACGATTTTTTTCCTCCTCTGAGCTATTCGATCCAGGTTCGAAAGAAAATTCTAATTTCCGGCGCTGTTGATTCTGAAAGATAATCGATAATTTTTTTTTAACTTTACTTCCAAGCTGCGTGATAGGTTCCGTTCGCTTTCGTTTTAAAATTAAAGTTTTCTAGAAACTGTATTTTTGTCAAATAATCTGCTATAGTTTATTTTACCTTTCTCTCTCTCTTTTTTTTCCGCTTTTCATTTCTGAATTCCCTTCGCATCTTCCGGAAAATTTCTTATTATATATTTCTTTTCCATAAAGCGCGTCTCAACGTCGCTACTTCCGCTAAATTTTCCCCCTGTATATAGATATATTTTTCCAGTACTTCACCCTTAAACAACGGGTTTCTTAGAAGAGAGAATCGGAGAAGATACACATATGCGTAGAGATTAAAAAAAATTGCGCTGCATATCGAGGGAGAGGGATTTTTAAATTAATATCCGCCTTTGGAGTGTGGTATTGCTAAGCGAAAGTTTTAAGAAAAATGATATTGTAATGGAAGAGAATTATTTTTTCCCTCTATTTGCTGGGATTTATTATTAAAATTCCCCTCTCCCACCCAGCTTGCGAAACGTTAGCGCAAGGTGGCTGTCCAGGTTCCGATTGTCAATGCATCATTTGGAAATAGAAGACCAACAAAATATTATATTTGTATGCTGTTTTCTCAATACTCTGGTGGGTGTTTTAATTTAGATAACGAAATCTTATGGCGTGTGGTAGGGAGGAAACAAATCTGGGGTTTTGTTGTTTGTGCACCAGGAGGTATATCTATTACGATAAATGATATATTGTTTGTCTTTTAACTCTCTCCATTGCAACTACACTCCCCTTTTCTTCCAAATATAGTTATGTATCATTCCATTTAAATGTGCTTGGTTATTATTCTGAAGATATAATATTAATTCATAAAACTTTACAAAAACAAAACGAATTTATATAATATATTGCTTGTGTTTTAATAGTAACTAAAATTTAATCATTGATAACGTGTAATTAAAATTTATTAAAAAACATTTTATAGAATAAGCTTTTATTTAAAGTGGATATGACAATTAATGCACTAAAAGTAGAAAAGTAATTTTTCATACACTTTAATGTAAATAGAATTGTTTAAAGTATTATTTCCATAAAATATATGACAAACTATTTTTGTCCTTTTGGTGCATTAATTATCATTTCCAAGCTCCTTATATAAAACCGTTTTTTAATTGTATTTTATTTTTGCTTTTATACATTGCATTACATATAATATACTCGTATTTTAGTTATTAAAATTCTTTTTTTAAATTATTAACTCTTATGCTTTTGATATTATTTTGTAGTAGGCACATGTTTTACATAATCTAAATTTAAAATGGAAGCATATTCGACAATCAGTCTTCATCTCATATTAAACTCAAGTATTAGTAAGTATTCTAATCTTATTTAAAAGTGGAACAATATAAATGAATTCTAGACTACCTTGAAGGAATTATCTAGTTTGGATATCAAGTATGTTTATTATATGAAATATATATTAAGTATGTTTATTACATGTACCTGAATGAAAATATTTTGCTTGAAGGTTTCTCAAAAACCAAAGAATTCAGCCTCAATAATAGACATTCTGAATTCGCAGTACCTTAACAAATATTCAGTAGCACTCAATAACGCATAAAAATTCAAATTTTACTGTATTGTTTGATGATTTAATGCGGTTTTTCAGTTATTTAAAAAATAATGTATCTTTTTTAAATGTTCTTCCTTTTTCATCATTTCCTTTCCATCATAAATGGTATTATTGTTTAAGTGCAGTTCTGTGAATTGTAAAATTAAAATGATTTTCGCAGACGATGAAAGCAAATGAAGATCTCGAGTCACAAATAAAGGAAACAGAGTTACGCTTTGCCGGAATGGCAACTTCAGAAGAATGCTAGAAGTTTTAATAAAAGACTGTACTTGTAATTTAGTTAAAGATGATGCAATTAGTACATGATTGTGTTTTTGAAAGTCTAAATAAAATTTATTTACATTATCAAAGATGAATTTTTCTTAAGAAGAAACTATTTTTACTTCGAGATGTTTCAATACAATAACGCTCTGATTTCAAATTCTTCGCTATTGAATTTTTGGCGTTTTCTTTACATCTGAATATCAATTTATTATTCACTTTATTGTTTTAGCTGCAAAACGAGATACATATATTTCAACTAAAGCTGAACTTTAAAGGTTTCCACCCATTTGACACGTTTAGCAAAAGATACATTCTAAATGAAATTTAAAGGCAGGCAAAAATCCAGAAAAAAAATAACCAGTATATTTACAGATGCACTGCCGAGACAAAACATTATAGCCATCTCCACATTTTTCAGTGAACTCGTATAGATACTGTGAAAGGCATGTGATTAATAGGGAATACTATTTAACTTGATGGAAAAGGTAAGGCATCATCTTGCACTTACTTTTGCGAGTGTTGGGAAAGTCTTATTTTAACCTAAATAATATGTGTTATATATTTATATTTTTCCATTCTATCCCGTATAGTTTTTAACCATCTGATGAATGTAAGTGTGAATCATGAAATAATTCGAGTTTACGTGAACATTTTATTGATTAGTATTATAATTTGCTTTTTGTTTATATTTTGAGTAATTCCTGTCATAAATATGATGCTCAAAATTAAAACTAACTTTTTTATGTTTTACATGTTACTCAGTGAATCCACAGTGTCTTAGGACTAAAATGCAGTACCCAATGAAATAATTCGCTAAAGTTTTACAAAATAGGATTTTTAATAAACAACTGTTTAGCACTTTTATTAGTCTTACACATTGTTTCGAATAGTGTATTTTGAAACCTTCATAAAGTTTCTAGACGTTTTAGTCAAATTTAGAAATACTGTATAAATGTTTCGCTACCTTTTCACAGTTTACAGAATGTTTACAAAAATGAAACACAGAATGTTACATTTTAAAAGAAGCTTTATTCCAGAGAGCGAAAAAATAACTAAAAAGTTCCAGACTTAAATAGAAAATCTTGACGAACATTACAGTTAAATTTTTATTTGTAATATTCCACTCAGATATTGTGAAAAGGCCGTTTTTTTTTGAAAGAAAGGAAAAGCTACCATTGCTCAATTTTCTGGCGTAAGACACTGTATTTGTTTTGGAAACTTGTTTTGATCTTCGTTTTAAAACAAAATAAATAAATAAATAAAAAATCTGTCTTTATGTCTTATTTTAAATGATTTAAACACTAATTTTAGTTGTAAAAAATATCTGAAAGTTTTCAGATTTTATATAACGCCCAAAAGGTTTTTTTAAACGTTTTGTGTGTTACCTTCATTTATTAAATATCGTGTTCTTCGCACTTAAACCATAAAAATCAATTCAACAGCAATATCACAAAATATTTTAACAAGAGCATATCTTTA